TAGTGATGTTTACAACTTCTGCAAGTGGCCTAGAATAGAGGCGTGTTCCTTTCTGCCCCTACCTCCTTTATGCTCACTGGAAAAAGGATGTAAGGAGCTTCAGCAGCCATGACGGATCATAAGGTAGAAGCTGCTTTTCAGGATGGTAAAGCCACACGATGGAAGGAGCCCATGGATCTGCTGATTAGAGAGTCACCTGCACTGACGTGAGAGTAATACATTTTATTTTCTTTAAGCTACTGTTACTTTGAGGTTTTTAGCTGTTACAGAAACTAATCCCTGTATGAAAATATATTGTTTAGGATAATTTTCTGGTGGCAGTAGTAGGAATCATTCAAAGCTATATAAAGCAAAAAGGGAGAACTATTTTAAGGACAGAAGGATTTCTCACAGAACCTATGGGAAGGGATGAAGGAAGCTTCACTAATAGATTGGTAGCTGGTATTAAAAAGTAAGGGGAGGCCAGGAAGCCCTCTCATTGTGTCTCATCTCTCCTTCTCTTCCTTCTTACTGAAAATTACTTACATGGTTAGCACAGAGAAGCAACAAACAAATATTTGTTTGATGGATGGCAATTTGTGTGTGAGATAAACTGGATCTAAAGTCAATTCTCAAAACGTTTTGTTATATATATGTGGCTTGTTAAAGTGATTCTTTTGAAGGGGGGAATCATATTTTTCAGAGTCTAAGCTCTCTGTTAAACCCTTTCTCTCAGCTTTCCAATTTTTCCCAGTCATTTATTCCAACATCAGAAAGGGGGCCTGAAATACAGGGTTGTCCATAATTAATATAATGACAGACACTTTTGAGATTGCTCTGCTTTTGTACAGGAGTTGCAAAAGCCAGTTTTTATAAGAACACAAGCACTGGCACTCAGTAGCTATTTTGGCAGGCAAGGAAATGATAGATTAATTACTTTTGGTACATTTTCCCCATAACTGTCTTTTTTTCCCATTTCATTTTTGCATTGTTATTATTTACCAGTCTGGGTTCTCACTTATACCTAGTTTGTGCCCTTCAGGGTTTCTTATAATTCTTGCCAGCTCTTTGATATGTTTGATAAGATGTTTTATATGTTTTATTCAGCACTTTTGAGTTGCTTTTGGTTTGAGAATCAGCCAGAGTCTCTAGTCTGCCATACTACTGGACACAAAACTTCAATATGCTTTCACTTCATTCACTTACAAGATACTCACCTGCATTCCAAACACCAGGGCCCTAACTCTGGTGGCCTAAGCTCCCCATCCACAAAAATGAAGAATAACTACCTTTCCACCTGCATCAAATTTTTTTTTTGTACAAGACTCACATAATCATTAATATGAAGTCAGTTTGCAACTGGAAAATACCATGAAAATACACATTTTCTTAACTCTGAAAACAAAACGGAGGCAAACAAGTAATAAAAGTTATAACTAAGGGTAACAACCTTAGAATGGTTTGTTCGACTATAAAATTTCTGTATCTTTGCACTCATCTCCTTTTTTTCTGGCCCAAAGTATAAATGAGAAAGTCTTAAGATAAAAAAACAAGGTTATTTTATGTTATAATTGACATTAATTTTATAATTTACACTTTTAAAAAACAAAGAGAAAAACATAAAGAGAAAAAGGCAATCTTGAGCACACTATAAAATCTTTCACTTTTTTTCTTTTTGAGATGGAGTCTCACTAAGATGGAGTCTCACTCGTCGCCCAGGCTGGAGTGCAATGGTGCGATTGGCTCGAGGCAACCTCTACCTCCCGAGTTCAAGTGATTCAAGGTTCAAGTGATTCTTCTGTCTCAGCCTCCCAAGTAGCTGGGATTATAGGCTCTGGCCACCACTCCCGGTAATTTTTTATATTTTTGGTAGAGATGGGGTTTCACCCTGTTGGCCAGGCTAGTCTTGAACTCCTGACCTCAGGTGATCTGCCCACCTCAGCCTCCCAAAGTGCTGTGATTACAGGCGTGAGCCACTGCACGTGGCCTTTTGTTTTGTTCTTTTGAGACAGGGTCTCACTCACCCAGGCTGGAGTGCAGTGGCGCCATCTCAGCTCACTGCAACCCCCGCCTCCTGGGTTCAAGTGATTCTCCCACCTCAGTCTTCCAAGTAGCTGGGACTACAGGCGTGCGCCACCATGCACAGCTAATTTTCGTATTTTGTTTTTTGGTAGAGATGGGGATTCACCACATTGGCCAGGCTGGTCTTGAATTCCTTACCGCAAGTGATCTGCCCACCTTGGCCTCCCAAAGTGCTAGGATTACAGGCATGAGCCACCGTGCCTGTCCAGATCTTTCACATTTTTAAATTTTGTGAAATAGCTGTCCTTTTCATATGTGGGTAAGCTATCAAACTTAAGATGCTCACAGTTTTTACATACTTTGTAGGCTGAGATTCTGAGTGTCTAACATTCTGTAATGTATCTTGGTCTCTGTGCTGCAAGAACACTGAAGTATTATTACAGGTAACAATCTATGTCACTCTTCTCAAACAGTGCTAACAGGTTACGTACTCAAGAGGAACATCTTTCAGTATATTTCAAAAAGCCTCATGGATGGTAGGTGATTTGTAAATGGACCAACACAGGACTCAGGCATATGGTTACTGTTTACTATTTCCTGTAGATCACGATGTCTTAGGTCTTATGTAGAATATATCATAGGACTTATCCTCTAAACATTCACACACCAAGACTGCACTCTGCATGCATACCATTCACTCATTCTGCATTTACTGAGTCAGTCCCACTGCATGTCAGACCTTGTGCCTGTTCTCAAGAAGCTCACAGTCTAGGAAAATGGAGAAATACAGCTACAATTATAACTCTATGTGATTAAGTATTACAAAGAGATACGGTGTTATGGAAGCACTGGTAGGGGCACTTAGCCCATACCGGAGTGGCTGGGATAGGGCTGAGTGGCCAACAGGGAAGGGTTCACAGGGGAATTGATGTCTAGGATAAATAATGAATAACAAATAACTAGCAAGGCAAGGAAAAGGTAGGAGATCAAGACATAAAAAGAAACAGCATATGGAAATACAGGGTTGTGAGTACAGCAAGACTGGGGAGCCCAAGTGGTTTGCTGTATATTTAATTTATTCATTTCATGTAGCTATTACTGACATACTTGTCTCCCTATATATGTTTGAGTCCGTGAATGGTGGGGACTTTGTAATGGTTTCTCTGTCCCTATGTCTAACAGGAAGCACACAGATGGAGTGCAATAAAATGTTTGATGAATGAATGACTAGCTACGTGATATAAGGGAGAATAGTTAGGAGTCTATTAATAAGAAAGGTCATTTCTAGTGGCAATGAATATCAGATAAGATAGATTTAAGAATTATTTAGAAATTAGGATGAATAAGACTTGGTGATACATTGGTGATGGGGTATAAAATAAGAAAAACTGACTTTCTAGGTTTCTGGATTACAGATGCATGATAATAGTTATAATGGTATAACAACAATAGCTAATATTCATCAGGCACCCTGTGTCATGAAGTATGCAAAGTGTTTACATGAAGTAAGTCATTTAAACTCTCAATGACTTAGCGAGGCAGGTTCTTGTATACTCATTCACTGATGAGAAAATTGGGGCTAGAGATTCATTTGCCTAAGGTCACTCAGCTAGCAAGTGGCAGGCTCAAACCCAGTAATTCTGACTCCAACAGCCATACACATAGTCTACTTTTCTTTACTGCCTCTAATAGATGAGATTAATACCCAGAATGATGGTTCTATTCAATATGTGTATCACATAAATTGCACGTTTCTCTTTTGCTAAACATAGAGACACATACTATGACTGCCTCTTTATTTTTTCCGATTTTGGGGATCTTGGCTCTTTCTGTATTTTTCCTACCTGGAAGACTTAAAGTGGGGTGGAAGTTTGATAAAACAGTTGGCACAAAAGATAAGAGAAGACAGGTGCAGGCGTGACATTCTCGAACGCTCTGGCAGTTGCTTGAATGATGGGATCTGGGTTCTACAGGATTCCTCCCCTCCCATCCCCCGCCACACACACACGTCGTAAGATGTATATGGCCGCGGAGTCTCAGGTTGGTTCTAGGAGTCCTCAACTCACGGCGAAGGTGCCTCTTCTCCCTCCTGGAGAGCCCAACATGCCTGAAGTCAACCTGAGGCGGCCTCTCGGGCCCCGGGAAACAGCGCAGCTCGGGCTCGCCCTTGTTCCCAGGGAAACCGCCCGCGGAGGAACCTGGGGCCAGGCCCGTGACACCTGCGACGAG